ATATTTTTATTCTTAATTAATATTTAAGTACATACATAACATATTGTTATTTATTAGCAATATCACACTTTGTGCTAGTAGCGTCTTCACTTAGTGCCGTCGAAATCCAGAGTTTATTGAATGTCCAGTAAAATCGTCGATACGCCGAATGATGATTCTGTTTTTACGTCGTTTCCGCCCGTAGGTTTTAGTCACAGAATGTATTTTCAAGAGAAATGAATTAATCATTTGAATTATAAAAGAACATGTTTTTATGGTAACAATTAAGTTTTTTGTATGAATGTAAGTGCTGTGAATATAAATAAACCCATAACGGGGGAAATGGAACAATATCTGGTAACCCAGTGAAAGTACCTCCCGCCTATGTCTATCTCAAAAGCATACGCGAATGCTTTATCTAGTCAATCCTCTATCTACGGTGAGGTATAATATTTGACGGATTTCATAGCGGGGAATTTAATTTGATCGGAAAATGTAATGGTTATTGTATCTTTCTGTACTATTAGCTATATTTTATATTCATAACATTAAAATAAATAATCCAAACCACAGATATTCTTAAAAGCAGAAAATTAAAAAAAAAGTTAAAATGTGCAAAACATTAAAGAGCAAACCACTGACGCAATGTTTTGTGTATTAATATAATACTCTAGAAACTGATAAATTTTTATTCAAAACTTCTCAATTAAATGACATTGTGTAACAAAAAAACTTTACCTCAGTGTCAACTAGCGACATCTGGTGAGCAGAAAATTATTAGCCCTCATTGCACACACAAAATTTCATCAAAATCGATCCAGCCGTTTCACAGGAGATCAGTAGTTAACGTTAATCTGGTAATTTCCTGTGCAGTGACTTCAGGGACTCATAGTATTTGATTGTTGATGCTTTATGAAGAGAAAGTTCAAAAAAGTTATAATTTAAAAAAAAAAAACTGTTAAAATATACGGAACGAAAGTAAACGAAACGGTCCAAAATAATATGTTAAATTTGGAAGTTAAAAAAGGCAAACATTTAAATATTACTACAAAGCTTTTAACGTAAGACAATACATTTTTCAAATTCAGAGCTATGTTTACGTTACTCTTGGCTGAGATTTAAGTAAATATTATTTTTGGTTCAAAAGTTGGAATTTTTTTTTATACGATAAGGGTGACAAACGAGCACACAGTCCACCTGATGGTAAGTGGTTGCTGCCGCCCATAGACATTTACATCTATCCTCTATTACAAATCAAAATGTAGATGCGTTGTCACCCGGGAGGACTAAGATGGAATGCCTATTTCCAGTAAAAAGGGCCTCCGGCCACCTGACGAACTCACCAAGCGAAACGCAGAGGTAAACCTCTACTTCATGTTGGTTTTATGTGAGGTCGTGGAACCACCCCGGTTCGAACCGCCCATCCATGCGACAGCAAAAGCTGCCGCGTGGCTCTACCACTGTTAAAATACTGAAATTCCACTTTTTGTGCCTTTTTTCAATTAAAATAAAATGATAACGGTTTGCAGTTGTGCGCGCAGCACACAAAAACTACTGAATTGATTTCAATTAGGGTTTTCTAAGTTTTATATCTTAGACGCTTGGTACTTCTCTAAACAATAACTATTGCGATATCTTAATATAAAATAAAGTTATTAAAGTGTAATGGCGGGTAAGAATACCCACTACCCCATATCTTCCCGTGGATATCGTAAGTGGCGACAAAGGGAAACTGAGGCATAAGATGGGCAGATAAGATAACTGCAAAACAAGACTGGCAACAAGGAATTCCCCAAGGCTGACATAGCGTCTGCATTTTGATTCGCAAACGAGGATAGATGTAGATCTATATGGGCCTTAGCAATCACTTACCATCAGGTGGTCTGTGTGTTCGTTTGTCACCCTATTTCTATAAAAAATTCTGCCAATGTCTCAGAGTAAGTAAAAGCACTTTATAGTCTGTGGTCAGTCGCATAGAAAATATATTGTCGTAAAGAATTTCAAAATGCTGCCAACAAAAAATTACTGACAGATTGACTGAATGAGCTGTGAATTATGTGTGATTTCAAATGTTCCTCTTTCAAATTAGTGTGAGGAGTGTATGTCACGGCAAAAAAGGTTATTTTATGTTTTGTATTTTAAATATATATGTCTTTTATATATGAACTAGCTGTTCCAGGCGACTACGCCCGCGTTGAATTTGTTTCTAAATCTCTTTTTTTTCTCTCTTTTACTAAAACAAAAATAGCCTAAGTTACTCCTTATAACATCAGCTATCTGCCAGTGAAAACAATACAGTCGTTTCGGAGTTGAGCCGAAAGAAACAGACAGACAGACAGACAAACATTTTAAAAATTGTTTTTTATTATAAGCACCGTAAATACTTTTATATGCATGTAGTAAAAAGCTGCTATTTTAACATTACATACAGACACTTCAATTTTATTTATTTATATAGATGTATAGATGTGCAGTTGAAAGTCTTGTTAAAAAATGTAAAAAACCTTTTAATTTGTTTGCACACCGGAAGGTACAATGTGGCCGTATTTTTGTTAAATTATTAAGACCTATTGTAACCCATGTATCGCAAACGAATAAAATGAATTTGAATTTAAAAGTAAAATGTAGCTTGCTTGATATACAAACTTTAAAATATAATGAATTACAGTCGTATTTGGACCACCAGACGACCACTAGTATAGATGCAAAAGCGATGAAAGGCAAATTAAACGCAACAAAAACATTAAGCTTGAAACTTAACTTTGTAATAAGACTTTCAATTAAACTAGTCTAAAGTTAATCGAAAGTTAATTCCGGGAATAAACGTAACGTAAGAGCTAAAACAATAAAAAAGACCTGACCAAAATTGACTATGATCGCTTCGACTAGAAAATAAAATTATGTAGTTTCTTTTTCCATTCATACATTTATTATAGCCGTGGTGACTCAGGGAATAAGCCCTCACTTTAAATTTCACAGTACGCGAGCAACCCGGTTTCAATCCCCGCTGGCACCAATGAAATTGTTAATTGCAATTTTATGTGAAGTTTTATCACATGCTCGGCGGTGAAGGAAAACATCGTGAGGAAATCTGCATGTCTAAAAAATGAAAAATAAGAAAAAAAATATTACGAAGACATGTGAAGTTCGCCAACACGGAGGCAGCGCGGTGGACATTCCCTTGCCCTAAAACCCTCTCAGAAATGGGAGGGGACGTGTATAGGCTGTAACTTTAACTAACTTAAATCATTAAAGCCAATTAAACTACTTTGCGGAGCTTAGGCCATAGAGTTTTCTTTACTCATGTGCTTAGGCCACATCAAAAATTATCAGGCGGGTTAGAAACCGCAGTTTTTTTTTATTTTGAGCTGTTATCAGAAAGATACCACTGCTCACCTCCTGTTACATTTCCCTCTTAAGCACATAAAGCCGTTGGCCCTGCGCCTGATCTCTCTCCGATCATGTCAGTTTACCGTCCCATCTGATTATGATAGAGAAGGAATAGAGAGTGCACCTGTCCTGTGCCGATAGCTAGTCTCTGTTGAGGCCGGTCGCCGTGACCGAAATTCGGTCTGGAGGACATTTCTCTCTGTCTACTCTTTTGAACAGTCTCTCCATATGTAAATCGAGAGTTACCGTGTTGCAAGGGTAAAAATACGATGTTTCTAGATAAAATTACGGTAGATTAACTATAAGTGTACCGTGTAAATTACGGTGTAACTTTTCGCAGAAAAATACAACATTATAAACAAAATCAAGTCCAAATATATTTGCTTTGAATTAATTACTAAGACTTTTATTTTTAAAATTGCTAAAATGAAACAATATTATTCTGAATCTCACTCTCATGGTAGGCATGACAATATTTTTTTCGTAAACGAATTCATCATTTTAGTTAACATATCGTTAGTAGGCTTGAAATCAACACAGAATTTGCTATTTCTGTTCATTGATTGCTGGGTGAAAAATATTTCCTTTTAGTGTTTTGTTTAAAAGTTTATTTATTTTTCGTTTTTATATAATTGACTTGGCTGAAAATGCGCTCGCACTCACTCGGCATTTGATCACATTACAGTATACAATGGTATAACGGTGACATATGACACGGTAATGCCATATTACCTTGACGGTAGGTTAAGACCAAATTACGGTGCATCTACGGTAATTACCGTGTACATGGGTCTCCATGCTTACGACACCCACGAAATGATATGTGGTAGTATATTCTCCCGCCGATAATACATACACAACATAAGACTGAATGTTTTCTCACGTTGTTTATGTGAGAAAACATCCATGTATGAGAAATTAAAATACTTCGAAGATTTATTGGAATTCAGTCTTATGTTTAATATACCACTGGTTCGGAAAATACCTGTAAAGAACCAGCAAGAGACCGAACGGGACTTTGTTACACATTAATTAACAACACAAAACAAATTAGAAATAGCATGGTAGCGATCAACTCATTCCCATTATCATCCATAAGTTAAAATAACATAAATATTATATAATTATAATAACCCTTTTTTATAATCTTTAGCTTTTTAAACTTGGTGAAAGTTATATTTTGTATATTTTCTGGGATTTTGTTGTAAACACATCGCCCCAAGGATAAATGACTGACTCTGTGGAGTTGAGTACCTGGAATAGTTTTTTTTTATTATTCTAAGCCAGCGCTTAACTACAATCCCACCCGATGGTAAGTGATGAAGTAACCGAAAATGGTGAAGCGCACTGGCTTAACAAAAAACTATTCACTCTTGCTTTGAAGACATGGGTGTATCTCTGTCATTGAAATCGGATGAAACACAGATGCTGGCAACTTATTCCACTCTTTCGCTGTACGCATGACGAACGATGTAGCAAACGATTTGGTTCGAGTGCGTGTTAAGTCGACAACGAAAGGGTGGAGACTAGCGGAGCGTCTGATTGTTCTGACGGTGGACGGTAGAGGGAGAAATCAAGTTATGCGATTAATGCAAATTAAACTAAGTATACTGGAAGGGAGTGCCACTTACCATACTATTCCCTGTGCGCCGGAGCCGATGGGCTTGAGGTTCTGATAGCGCTTGAGGATGGTGAAGCGCGTGTCGCCGACCTCCACGGTGTAGAAGTGCGGGTGGCGCGGCGGGGCCGACATGGCGGAGGCTGGTGCCGCGTGGGGCATGAACCACCCCTACCTGACAACACCAATCAAACTTGGTAGACACGCTGCTGTTATATTGCTATATTATGGTTGTAGCACGAATCGGTCAGCTCGACCAGGGCAGGACCACGCTCTCACAGAATACCAGCGTAAAATAGCTCAGTGCTGCTGTGTTTCGTAAGGTAAATGTAGAGAATCGGTGAACCTTTTTACTGGAAACGAGGCATTCCATCTTAATTCTCAGGGGTGACAATATCACTAAATCTTAATTTTGATTTTTAATCAAGTGTACATATCATGGAACACATAATCCACTTACCATCAGGTCGACTGTATGGTCGTTTGTCACTCTTAATCTATAATGTAGCTTGAGTTCTAATAATGGTTTCTTCTATTTACGCAAATACTAAACTTTTGTGGCGTTTAATTATAAATTTTGAATTCCCGATGTTTGGAGTACTTTACAGCACTATGGTCACGGGGGGACTGAGGTGTTTGACGTCACGATGTCATAGTTAACGAAGGTTACTTTTAACAGTGGTAGAGACACGCGGCAATTCCACTCGCGACTAAAACTGCTCGGGGCAAGCGGAGCAATAAGACCAAGGCGACCCCTGTCACACTATCCCTGGACTTCTGCAACATTAGGGGGACGGACTGCATTTTGATTCGCAAACGTAGATAGATGTAGATGTTTATGGCCCAAAACAACCACTTACCATCATGTGGACTGTGTGCTCGTTTGTCACCCTTATACTATAAAAAAATCCTACCCTTGGGGGCGGATTTGCTTCTCGCCGGACGATCCCAGCGTTGTTGCTGATTCTGTCGCCGATGAGATACTTCAGGGTATGGAACTTTTCATTCCATCCTCTGTGGTGCCCATCGCAGGCAGTTCTCAGCCATGGTTTAGTCGCTAAAATATCATCACGCTATAAGCAAGAGTGCTACCGGGCCTGGGTTGTAACACCAGCGCTCTTAAAAAGAAGTACAATCCCGCCTCTAGGTCCTTCAAAAGAGTCATTGCCAAGGCAAGGTCTGAGCATATCAGCAGAATTGGCGAGAAGCTAGTTCGCCTTCTTTCGGAAACCCGTGCATTCTGGTCTTTCGCCAAGGCTGTCCAAGAGAACTTCTGTCAGCCATCTCTTCTATCTCAGCACAGAGAGGACGGCTCACTGGCTCATGCCGAGAAGGACAAAGCCGATTTGTTAGGCTCTCTTTCCGGTCAACTCGAACCTCGATGACGGGGGAACAAACCGCCGACCATGCCGCGGTGTGAGTGCTCCATGCCGGATGTGCGGTTCACACAGCGCTTGGTTCGCAAAGCACTTCTTCCTGGACGTCAGCAAGTCGAGTGGGCCTGATGGAGTTCCTCTCATTGTGCTGAAGACGTGTGCTCCGGAGTTGGCACCGGTATTCATAGAAAACAGCTTTGGTCCACCCGATCCCTAAAAGAGGCGACCGTTCAGATCCGTCGAATTATAGCCCTATCGCCATCACCTCCTTGTTCTCCAAAATAATGGAATCCATTATACACTGCCAGCTCATGAGGTATCTTTAGAATCACCAGCTGGTTAGTGACCGCCAATACGGTTTTCTTCGGGGTCGATCAGCTGGTGATCTTCTGGTCTACCTGACTTAAAGATGGGCGGAGACAGTAGGTCCATGGGGGAGGCATTGGCCGTTAGTTTGGACATAAGGGTTTGGCATAAAGCGCTTCTTTCGAATCTCCCTTCCTATGGGCTTTCCGAGAAATTGTGCTAATGGACCACCAGTTTCTAGTTTCTAGTAAATCGCGTCAAAATTTACGATATCATCCTCACCATCTGGATGCTTGGCGGTCCAAGACTATGCTTTTTAACAGGAGTTTTCTCCCTCGTACAACTTCTCTGTGGAATTGTTTACCACCTGCAATTCCTCTGGTGTTGCGGTTGTTCATGGCCGGTGGTAATTACTTTCCATCAGGTGATTCACAAAGGCATACATCCAAACCCGGAACAACCATAGGCCATACAAATACTTGTCTGCACTCACTAAACAAAAACAACAGCATTGAGCTGCTATATCACGCTGTTATTCTGTGAGAGTGTGGTTCTTACTCGGTCGAGCCGACCCATTTATTCTACAACCATAGTTTAGCTGTAGCGTGGCTCTACCACGTGTAAAAATAACTTAGTTAAAAATCTATTTTCTATTGCCATGAAGACACGCACTTACTTTACAAAGTTATCCGCGTAGAACGAATATAAACAGTCCATATATTGGGGCCGGTCTTTTGTGTTTGTCGCTCACGTTCAAATGCGAGGATGTGCTGATTCTGGAGTAAGCAGGGGGTGCGGTGTGCAGGAAGCGGAGCCAGCAGTGAGCGACAAGCGTCGGGCTATCACAGGTGTAGTCTCACGGCCGAATGGAAGACTTGACTAAGCTGATTAAGTCTGAAACAAAGAGAGTAAAAAATTTATATTGTTTTATTATGCTATACATTCAAACAGAAATAAAACTAAGGGTATAAAGATTCAGCCTAAGAGAAGAATTGAGCCACGTCGACTGGCTATACACCGAGACATAATGAGGCGATTTGATTTTCGCCATTTTGGCGCTGACAGCAGAAGTGAACGTTCAAGAAAAGAGCCTACTCCTTTTTAAAAGGCCGGCAACGCATCTGCAATTCCCCTGGTGTTGCGGTTGTTCATGGGCGGCGGTAGTCACTTACCATCAGGTGAGCCGCATGCTCGTTTGCCCCCTCTCCTATAAAAAAAAAAAAAAAAAACGTCCAAGGAACTAATAACAGAGATAAGACAGTGTGACAAAACATATCGATAAAAATTATAAACCCAGGCCTACCCGTAAAGTCCATATTTATGAATCATATTAATATAAGGCCATAAAATAAATAAATGTATCAATTAATACCTAGGCCTTAGGCGCAAGCTTTATACCTCATATAAAACCAAGATCGACGCTGCGTTGGTCTATCTACGTTTTTATTCGTAACTACAGAACGGATTTTGTTCCGGGTTTCAAATGAAGAAATGCCTACGCATACCCGCTTCGCGGGGGCAAGAACGGATTGTGTAGGACTTGCACCTACTAAAACCCCATGGTGTTCCAACTTCGCCGCACATTGGCAGGGCCACGGAAACGCGTTTTTTATATTATAGGGTGACAATCGAGCACACAGTCCACCTGATGGTAAGTGGTTGCTGTGGCCCATAGACATTTACATCTATCCTCAATTACGAATCAAAATGCAGATGCGCTGTCATCCGTAAGAAATAAGATGGAATGCCTCGTTTCCATTAAAAATGGTCTCCAGTTCTCTACACTCACCATACGAAACACTAACAAACCGATGACATTATTTTACTAATCCTAGTCTGCGTCTTGGCCTCTCTCTGGAATGTCCCATAGCCAGCTCTTACGAAGACGATGAGACATAAGTGCGTGATGGATTGTCTCACTTTATTACCATCGCCATGGATAAACAAAATCACGATCTAAGAGTATAGTCCATTTCGCCTAATGAAAGTCGGGTCGTTGAATCATTTCGCGAGTTAATTCAAGTTTGCTGCAAAATTGCTCATTTGCATTAAGCCTCGCCTCTAGAAACGCGCCGTTTACTTAATAATGTAATAAGCCGAAATTTATATGGGCGTCTAGGACCCTAGTGTAAAAATGGCGACAAAAATATTGAAGCATAACATTTTCATTTACGTATTATTTGTATCTGTTTTATGTTGTAGAGCCACGCTGCAGCTATATTAGTAGTATAGTTGTAACACGAATGGGTTGGCTCGACTCGGGAAAGACCACGCACTCACAGAATACCAGCGTGAAATAGTAGCTTAATTAAAAAAATTGTCCTCACGGGTGACAACATATCTGCATTTTAATTCGTAATCGAGGATAGATGTAGAGTGTAAAAAACTGCAAAGTGCTTCCAGGTGAAGACTTAGTATCCCAGCACCGAATTCTGCTGGCTGACATCTGCTTAACTTTTCGCCTCAACAAACATAAGGATCGTCCCCCACCCAAAATAAAGTGGCATTTGCTGCATAAGGAGGGGTATGCAAGTGAATTTAGAGAGCTAGTTGTAAACAAGATGATAGAGATGGGTGATATGGAAGGAATGAGTGTGAATGAGTGCTGGAAGGAAATGGCTGATTGTATCAGAAGTGTGGCAAGGAAGGTGTTAGGAGAAACAAAAGGGAAGCGTATGATAGATAAGGATGGGTGGTGGTGGAGTGAAAGTATTAGAGAAGTTTTGAGAGAAAAGAAAAATGCCTTTAAAGAATGGCAGAGCGTAGAAGACCAGAATGAATCCATAAAAGAAAGTAAGAGAGGGGCGTATAAAGAATGTAAGAAGAGAGCGAAGAAGGAAGTTGCTATTTGTAGGGCAGAGGCGCAAGATAAATTATATCGGTCCCTTGAAAGCCCCGAAGGTCAAAAACGACTTATTCAAATTGCAAGAGCGAGAGAAAGGAATGGAAGAGATGTTTCATATGTAAAATGTATAAAAGATGATTCTGGAAGGATTTTGACTGACGATGAAAGTATAAAGAAGCGATGGAAGGAGTATTTTGAGAAATTGATGAATGAGGAGAATGAATGGAATGGTATGCTTGAAAACCCACCAGTGAATATGGGCTTAGTGAGAGAAATTAGTGTGGAAGAAGTAAAAATGGCTGTTAGGAATATGAAGAATGGGAAGGCGGTCGGCCCAGATGGAATACCAGTAGAAGTGTGGAAGTTGCTGAGGGCGGATGGATGGAAGTGGTTGAGTTTATTTTTCGGTAAATTGTTGCAGGAAGAACAAATACCTGAGGAATGGTGCAGTAGTACTGGTTCCCATTTTTAAAAACAAAGGAGACGTTCAAAACTGCAGCAGTTACCGGGGAATAAAGCTCATGTCACATACGATGAAAGTCTGGGAAAGAGTAATAGAGAGAAGAATGAGAGAAGAGTGTGAGATAACACAAAACCAGTTCGGATTCATGCCCGGTCGAGGTACGACAGATGCC